GGGTAGAACACCAGGCCCCTGCGTAAAACCATGGGCCCGCTGAATACAATAAGATTTATTAAATAGGTATATATAATTTATTTTTCGAAATTTTGGATATTCTCAATACCGAATTAACTATTTAAATATATTTTGTATTTTAGAAAACTGAATCTCTTTTAAATAATTTTATTTTGGAATTGATGCTAAAATAAAATTTTTGGGTTTTGGGGGTTTATGAGTTTATTTATTTTTTCAACCTTATCAATTTAAAATTTTTATTTGTGTTTTATTTAAAAAATACTTGAGTTTTTGTTTTAAAATTTTAGGGAAGGGTTTTTTTTTTGTTTTTACTGTGAATTCTTGGAAGTCAAAGACTTGTGAAAACTAATAATCCTCCCCGGGGGGGGGTTTTAAGCCCCCCCCGTTTCCCTGGTTTGGAGCTCAGTGTTTAGTACAGTAATACACTGGTCGTCACTGTGTTTATACGAAAAACACCGGTCCACGTGTTATGTACATTAATACACTGGTCGTCCTTTTTGTTATATACTTTTTACACTGGTCGCACGTGTTATAAAATTAATACATTGGGCGTCCTGTGTTATGTACATTAATACACTGGTCGTCACTGTGGTATATACATTAATACACTGGTGCACTTGTTTTACATTATTACATGGTCGTCACTGTGTTATATAATTAAAACATTGGTCGTCACTGTGTTATTACATTAATACACTGGTCGTCATGTGGATATCTTATACACTGGTCGTCACTGTGTTATTACATTATTACATGGTCGTCCTGGTTATTACATTAATAATTGGTCGTCACTGTGTTTTTACATTAATACTGGTCGTCACTGTGTTATATAATTAAAACACTGGGCGTCACTGTGGATTAATTTATACCTGGTGCATGGTTACATTTTTAATGAAGAATTTAGAACTTATGCAACACATGGGAAATTTTTTTGGCCCCCCGCCCAAAAGTGGGTTCATCGCCAAAACAAAGTAGAAATGGGTAAGGGGAGGAGGGGAAAAGAGGAATCAGTCCCCCAGCCGGAATCGATGTGTCCGTCCCACTCTTGTAGGAAGTACAAACTGGGGCCAGAGAAATGTTAACGTTTTGCCCCTATGTGGCGAAACGTTTCTTCAATAAAGTTCCCATTGTTGCTAAGTGTTCAATTCTTAAAATTTTCGTTTTTTTAAAACCATTCATCACATTCTTTAATACACAGGCGTCACTGAGTTTGTACATTTTAATCAAGGTCGTCACTGAGTTTGAATTCATTAATACAAGGGCGTCACTTGTTTGCTACATTTTAATACACAGGTCGTCACTGAGTTTGCTACATTCATTAATACACAGGTCGTCACTGTGTTTGCTACATTCATTAATACACAGGTCGTCACTGTGTTTGCTACATTCATTAATACACAGGTCGTCACTGTGTTTGCTACATTCATTAATACACAGGTCGTCACTGTGTTTGCTACATTCATTAATACACTGGTCGTCACTGTGTTTGCTACATTCATTAATACACAGGTCGTCACTGTTTTAAATTCATTATTACACAGGTCGTCACTGTGTTTGCTACATTCATTAATACACTGGTCGTCACTGTGTTTGCTACATTCATTAATACACAGGTCGTCACTGTGTTTGCTACATTCATTAATACACTGGTCGTCACTGTGTTTGCTACATTCATTAATACACTGGTCGTCACTGTGTTTGCTACATTTAATACACTGGTCGTCACTGTGTTTGCTACATTCATTAATAACACTGGTCGTCACTGTGTTTGCTACATTCATTAATACACTGGTCGTCAACTGTGTTGTACATTCATTAATACATGGTCGTCACTGTGTTTGCTTCATTCATTAATACACAGGATCGTCAGGAGATTGCTAATCATTAATACACTGGTCGTCACTGTGTTTGCTACATTCATTAATACACAGGTCGTCACTGTGTTTGCTACATTCATTAATACACAGGTCGTCACTGTGTTTGCTACATTCATTAATACACAGGTCGTCACTGTGTTTGCTACATTCATTAATACAAGGTTCGTCACTGTGTTTGCTACATTCATTATACACAGGTCGTCACTTGTTTGCTTACTCATAATACACAGGTCGTCACTGTGTTTGCTACATTCATTAATACACAGGTCGTCACTGTGTTTGCTACATTCATTAATACACAGGTCGTCACTGAGTTTGCTCAATTCATTAATACACAGGTCGTCACTGGTTTGCTACATTCATTAATACACAGGTCGTCACTGAGTTTGCTACATTCATTAATACACAGGTCGTCACTGAGTTTGCTACATTCATTAATACACAGGTCGTCACTGTGTTTGCTACATTCATTAATACACTGGTCGTCACTGTGTTTGCTACATTCATTAATACACAGGTCGTCACTGTGTTTGCTACATTCATTAATACACAGGTCGTCACTGTGTTTGCTACATTCATTAATACACAGGTCGTCACTGTGTTTGCTACATTCATTAATACACAGGTCGTCACTGTGTTTGCTACATTCATTAATACACAGGTCGTCACTGTGTTTGCTACATTCATTAATACACAGGTCGTCACTCAGTATTGTGTACTTTCACTAATAGATCAATTCATCCTCCGAGTAATTAAGTCACTTCTTCACATACGGCCTCCAGCATGTTTCTGAGTCAGGTTAGGGTAGGTTAGTTTGTCTTGTATCCATAAACGTTAATAAACTATTACATACCACAACGAAAAAAATATAAATATAAGATAGACGATAACAATGTCTCCGGAGTGAACAAAAACAGGGAGGCAGTGAGTGTGGGTATAGTAACAGAACCTTCAACAGTCACCTGCTTGACTGTTTTTACAACAGTGTCACGTCTTTGGTTAGAAGGGTGGGCTGTATACACAGGTTGGCACTCTCACTGTTGTGGTTTTCAGTGACACTTGTACCTATAAAATTCTCTGGCGTTTTGACACTAAAAAATGCATCAGTTTAAATCTCTGAAGAGGACAGCGATTCTTGTATTTAGACGGATCTAACATCTCTGTAAGTGACGTTAATAGTGTACTTGTTATGGGCAAGTAATAATGTACTTGTTATGGGCAAGTAATAATGTACTTGTTAAGGGCCAGTAAGAGTGCATTTGCTGTGGACCAGTAACAGTGTACTTGTTCTGGGCCAGTAACAATGTACTTTGGGCCAGTAACAATGTACTTATTTTGGGCCAGTAACAGTGTACTTGTTCTGGGCCAGTAACAATGTACTTACTTTGGGCCAGTAACAGTCTACTTACTCTGGACCAGTAACAGTGTACTTACTCTGGGCCAGTAACAATGTACTTGTTCTGGGCCAGTAACAATGTACTTGCTCTGGGCCAGTAATAATATTAATATACAAGTCACGAGCACTCTCCGGGTTAGCGAAAGCAATGTAGTTATCTCTGAAGATAAAAAGGAAATGAAATAACGTAGCCTACGGCCTGCCGCAACATCTTCCTGGTGAGAGGAAGACTCATTAACATATACTACCATTTATTTGCAAGTTTCTGCCTGCGAGGCATTTATTTTTACAGATCTCAACAAATGAGTTATCAGTTGCTGCTGTGAACGAAAAAAAAATTATTGAGGACGAACATATATCCACGATTATTTCTGTTCTTTGTAATGTGTTATGAAACTTTGAAACATTACGTAAATGAGCTATTATTCTATTTATTATCACTTATAATAATATAAGTGTAAATAACCTGTTTATCATTTGAGTTAATTTGCCCCTTTCTTGATGCGATAATTGAACCATAGTTCCTGTATCATGTGGGAGTTCGATACGTGGATAGGGTAAAGTAATACTCACGTAGGCTGGTAGTACGTATATTACGGATAATGTGGGGAGCGCCCTTACAGCCGTACCTATCTCTCTGCTCTCTCTCGTATAACTGACTGGCCGCCCACAGTACCCATATGTGAGGGGGTCTTTGAATACTGCTGTGGTCAGCACAATATGAATAGACAGTGACTCAGGCAGAGACGGTTGGTAGTGAGTCAACTACTGGTACACTGGTTACTGGTAACTGGTTACTACTACTGAGATCTAGACCTATTGTGTGCCTTTGTAATCCATGTTGACTTCTCCCTACAGGATAGGTATGAAGTGCACAATAGATAAATTACACTTACTAATGCGATGTGCCAATCGTTCGGTGGCCCCCCAGACATCACCTGTTACCTAAGCAATATCAAGTGAGTCTAAGACTTCGTAGCACCTAGCAATACTTTATGATGACATAACAATGTTACCTAGGTACAATGTTAAGTATCCCAACACTACCTGCAACATACGTGTTGGTGTAATATAGGGTGAACATAGCACTGGTCACATAGGTACATTGTAAGGTGATGTAGTGTGGCTAGGATAATATTGCTTAACCGGCATTGTGGCTAGGATAATATTGCTTAACCGGCATTGTGGCTAGGATAATATTGCTTAACCGGCATTGTGGCTAGGATAATATTGCTTAACCGACATTGTTGCTAGGATAATACTGTTTAACAGACACTTTGGCTAGGATAATACGGATCTTCACTAGTTGATTGTGTGTTTATCATCCTCAAGAATTAATTTTTCAGTTATGATGTACTTGTTGATGCATATACGAGAACTATGTTTATGAAGCCAACCATAGAGAAAGTGTTGAATCATTGTAAGGACCAAATAATATGAGCGTAATTAATCAACGATGCCTTCTTCAAAACTTAATCATCTGTCGTATAATCACGTTTTAAAGAGTTAGCAATTACTGTGCTGCCAAATATGGCTAAGTGCCATTTCCTCATAAAAACTTTCTTATCTGGAGACTCGTTCGAAGTCTTACACAAACCTTTAACCTGATGCCTTTTCAGAGCGTCCTTCACTTTGGTGGTGGTGATAGTCTGCCCGGTATATAAAGGTCCCCACATGAGAGAAGCGCCACTTGCTCTGACCTCTCACACCAACATGATCCTGGTGAGTTCATCATTTTGCTGGGAACGTTTTAATATTCGGAAAACATCTGGAGAAGATAAAGATGTTGATACTGTAATATTTACAAATCTTTGACGACAATGATAATACAGTTTCTCTCGTATTGGGCATCTAAACTTGTATAGAATATTTTATATGTATCATCTAGCTTTCCTAAAATTTTCTTTTAAATTGCGGAACGGGTGAGGCTTGAACCCTTGGCAGGTGAGTCCTGAAACCACAGGCCAGTGTGTTAACCACTTAGCCACCTGGCCATGTTATTGCGATTCCGTGAGGCCCAAATATTTTTTGCCTTTGTTTTCTGAGTTATTTTGAAACACCCTCATGATTTACCGAAAAAGTTTCAACCTATCTGAATGTTCCTAAAACAAAGACAAGAGTTACAGCTGGTCGGGATAGCCACCTGGTGGACAGGTAGGAAGCAATTATTTGTCTCTGGGGATATGATGGGGCCACTCAATGGAGTTAGGTTAGGTTAGGTAAGGTTTGTCAGGAAACAGGACAAGAGTTTCCTGATGCTAGTCTTAGTTATACGATGACTTGCAGCTGGAGTTTTTGGTCATCTGACCGAAGCCTTCTGCTGGCTTACCGGTCCACCCGTTTAAAAATTATGGTAATAAATATAGCCATTTAATTATATGCAACTGACTCAATGGACACCGGGACTATAAGCAAGAAAGGTTATTAATCACGATTCCTAACACTGAGAATATGAGATAATTTTGTTTAAATTATATGACAGATAATTTAAATAATATGACAAATTATTTTAAATAATATGAGAGATAATTTTAAATAATATGACATAATTTGTTTAAATTTCCGGACACTAGCGAATAATGACAATTTTTTTTGAATATCGTGATCTGTCAGATAAATGTTAATTATCTGCCAATACTGTGTAATTAGTTAATGACAGATTTTTAAAATCATCGGCATTCTTTTCTGTACGTCAATCTGGCCTCCAAAAATAAGCTTAAATTTCTTCAGTTTATTTTAAGCTAATTTGTTGTACTTATTTAGATTTATTTAAGTTAGATTAGATTACATTGTCGTCTATTTACAAAACATAACCATTATAATGTACAGTAATACAAATATAATGTAATACATAAAGATAATATCGAATGCGTCAAAAAAAAAAAACGTCGTGGGGAGCTACCGGGATCTCAAATATATTATTTATTTAAGTTTTAGTCAATGTTGTATTACCGACGGTCTTCATCCAGAGCAAAAAAAAAAAAAGCTGACAATGGTTTATAAGGATAAGATAAGATAAGATAAGATTTCGTTCGGATTTTTAACCCCGGAGGGTTAGCCACCCAGGATAATCCAAGAAAGTCAGTGCGTCATCGAGGACTGTCTAACTTATTTCCATTGGGGTCCTTAATCTTGTCTCCCAGGATGCGACCCACACCAGTCGACTAACACCCAGGTACCTATTTGCTGCTAGGTGAACAGGACAACAGGTGTAAGGAAACGTGTCGAAATGTTTCCACCCGCCGGGAATCGAACCCGGGCCCTCCGTGTGTGAAGCGGGAGTTTTATTAGCACAAGCCGTGTAATATTTATACAGTTATCAATGTTGGGCCAAAATTTGAAAAGCGTAAAATATTGCATAAGGTCAACGGTATCACATTTACAACTCAGTTCTTTTCCTGTCTGATGATACTGAATAAGTCTGACAAAATATTTTTTTTAAGCTAACCTCAAATCACAAAATTTCTGAATGTTTTTTTTTTTTCAGAACTAGTACATCCTTTTGCCTTAAAGAATTAGTTTACATGGATTTTCTGAAGTAACATTAAAAAAATATCCCCGGCAGATAATGTGCACCCTGGTGGCTCTTGTGGGGGCAGCGAAACTCCCATCTGCGTCTTATGGGACACCAAGCAGAGTAAGTGGAGGGTCACCAGGGGTGTCTGGAGGAAGCTTGGGGAGTTCCTCTGATAGTGGCTCGGCAGGCGGTTTTAGCGGAAGCTCAGCTGGTACAGGCTTCGGAGCTTCAACGGCCGTTGAAGGCTTTGGAGGTTCAACTGGTACAGGCTTCGGAGGTTCAGCTGGTGGAGGCTTTGGAAGCTCTGCTGGTGCAGGCTTTGATGGAGCTGGTAGTGGAAGATCTCCTAGTGGAAGTTACAGCCCTTCAGGTCCTGTAGTCCCCATCTTAACTGACGAACGTCAGGGACCTGATCAGGCCGGCAACTATAACTTCAATTTCGAGACTGGTGATGGCATCAGTCGTCAGGAGCAAGGCGCCCCCCAGGGCCCAACCGGCGCTGTAGCAGCTCAGGGAGGATGGTCGTAAGTAATCTCCATACTATTGCAGAACAGCAAATTTTAAAAATGCTTTTATATTTCTAGAATGGCAATTTATGTATAAAAACGGTTATAATAATGAATCTAATAATACTGTGTTTCAGATTTACTTTCCCCGATGGAACTCCCGCTGTTTTCAAGTTCGTAGCAGATGAAGGTGGTTACCGCGTGGAGTCTGACCTGGTGCCCACGCCCCATCCTCTTCCCGCCCACGCTATCGCCCAGATCGAGAAGGCTCGTCAGGAAGACGCTGCTGCAGCTGCTGCAGGTGGACGGGGGTCATACGATGCTTCAGGCTCTGCCTCTCAGTTTACTGGAGCACCTGCTGGCGGCTTTGGTGGTTCACCTGCTGGTAACTTTGGTGGTTCACCTGCTGGACGGTTCGGAAGTACATCTGGAGACTTTGGAGGTTCCACTGGGCCAGGATTTGGAAGCTCAACTGGTGGCTTCGGAACTTCTACTGGAGGCTCTACTGGTGGAGCTTTCAGTGAAACTCCTGGTGGAGGCTTGGCTGCTGGAACCTCTGCTGTGGTTCCCAGCAGAACCTACGGAGCCCCCTGAGTATCACCACTTGTACTTGACTCCCTAGTCCCACTACTGTCACGTCAGTCAAGCTCATGTTGCCACACGGACTCTGTTTATTTTATGTCAAAAATTTTACGCTTTTTAATGTTACTGTTAAATATATGATCCATGTAAAATATTTTGATTTGTTTACCTAATTATTTATAATTTAAGTGTATAAAATATATTTAAGTTGAATTAGATAAATAAGGCAATACAGAGAGAAAATAATTAAACATTTAATGAACTACAATGTTAATGGATTTTTCAATGATTAATGTAGAGAGATGGAGGAGATTTTTCTACAGTTGTTCAAGTGTGCATTTATTCTGGTATATGTATTCAAGCTGTACTCTCCTAATTTTTTTCTTGTTTGATTACGACCATATTGCCTAATGCCTACTCTCGTCAGCTGTCCTTTTTTTCTCATAGAGCTGTGTAAGTCATCCCAATTTCTGGCCACCTTGAATCCGTCGCCTGGTTGGTAGCGTCCTTAGCTCACACACTGAGGTGTCCGGGATTAATCCCCGGAACGGGTGGAGCTTTGGGCATGTTTCCTTACACCTGCTGCCCTGTTCACCTAGCAATACATAGATACCTGGAAGTTAGAAGACTTTCATGTGTTGCATCCTGAGAGACAAGATTAACCTAGACAAGATTAACCTAGATCAAGGAATATCCGCCTCTGATATTCCTTGATCTGCTGTTATGACTCTTCCATATTTCACTCTGTATGTGAATCAGTCTCTCGTACAACGAAGTCTTAAGTGGCTCCTGAAATTTAAAAATATTCAACTTACCAGGGCCTCTCTTTCCTATTTTATATACAACCCTCACATGGGAAAAATGAACTTATGACGACGTTTCGGTCCGCCTTGGACCATTAACTAGACACAAGTTGGAGGGAAACTTCTCCACAAGTTTCTTTCTATGTGCGAGTTGTGTATTGTTGTAGTCACGGTATTGTGCCTTCTTGTTCTTTACGTGTGGGTAAGTCACCTTTCATCTGCTCCTGTTCCCCCTAGCAGCAACTAGGTAATTGGGTATTAAAAGACTGTTGTGGTTTGCATCCGGTGGGTAGAATGTGGTGGTAGAACACCTTAGAGCTGGGCTTGTAAATTCAATTATATAAAAAGAAAGGTTGAAGAGCATCTATTTTTTATCTTGAAACAGATTGTGTAGGAAGAACTGGGAATAGAACCGCCGTTCTTTCGGGTTCTTGAACCCAGCTAGAGGCTGTGGATTCAGTCCCGGTACTTCTTATGCAGTAAGTTATCAGGAATCGTGTGCATTAAGCAGTCTACCATGATCTACTTCTGGTCCAGACTGCTGGCCACACCCGCACGACCCTGAGACTGATACCAAGGTCACAGTCCGCTCTTCCTCCTGTGTTATCAAACTCTTGTCTATCACAGCGTCTCCCCACCTGAGTGAAACCGCCTTTGTTTACCGCAACTGCTGTGTTGTTTAGCACGACGTTTCACCTGGGTGAAACTGCTTCTAGGTTTCTGCTAAACTTACCTGTTTTTTTTTTTACTTCCTCCTAGTTTTTGACTTCCTTTATTCTAAAACTCCTTTCATTTGCCTTTTGATGACATATTTAATAAATACTTCACATAGTTGGTGCTGAGCTACAGCTCCAGGCACTACTACTGATGCAATGTAAAGTGAATAAATGGTTTTAAAACCAACTTTAAGGCCTAACACAATCACGTCAAAAAATTTCTGTTTCTAAGATATTTGGTCTTCAGTTCGTGAAAATATTTGACGGCTGTAATTACAAAAGTTGAGGACATCTTTCTCGGTCACAGAGGTTGAAATGCATCTCGTTACTTCTGGAGTCAATTGTACGTCCTAATCTCAACCAAGCCACAAGAATGTATTCCCTGAGCAAATCTCTCTCTCACAACATTCATGGAGTGTAATTTGAATTCACGCAGGAGGTGTGGGAGTCCGACTTCGTACTGGCCGATGCAGGAAGATGGCGGCCAACTGAATTCGAACGTCTTATCTCCCAGGAAATTTCACTTATGTTTTATTTTTAAACAATACTATGGACATCATCTGCTACGCAGAATCATGTGCTGCTACACGACTCCCCTCAAGGAAGGTTCCTTGATATGGGTGAGGGGCTCTTGATTTAGGGAATTGATCTGTGCCCCAGTCCCCGAATTAAGCCTGATGCCTTTCACATCCCCCCCCAGGCGCTGTATAATCCTCCGGGTTTAGCGCTTCCCCCTTGATTATAATAATAATAATGCTACACGACTCTGCGTAATTACACTGCATGACGGCATAAACCATGGTGAAAACACCAACAAGTTGGTTTAGAAAAAACACGTAAGCAAACACTAGGACATTAATTAGAAAACGTTTCGGTCCTGGGACCTTGATCACTTCTAACATACAGAGGTTGAAAGCCAGTATATATATAGGTAGAGAGTGTTTGCTTACGTGTTTTTCTAAACCAACATTGCATGATAAAATCAGTTGCACTTCAGTGTCATGTAAGATCATGATCCAGCACATGAGAGAGTTCAGCCTAAGTTAAGGCGCTTCAGTAAGTCTTTGAGGATATCCTTCAATATTTCACCATTGTTTCCTTTCACATTTGCGTGAGAGAACAAAATCTTCTTTTACACAAACCTTATATGTAAACCTATATGCAAAAAAATCGTAGAAAATAAAGCGATATAAACGTAAACGTCGCCGGGAAAAAAAAATCGTTTTCGGTAAATTTTATCCAAATTATTGAGTGGGGTTTTCTTGAGAAAATTGCATCGTTTCAGATGTTCTGAAAAATAACTCTTACTTACACAGAAAAAATCGATATGACTTCCCACCTGTATTACTGAAACATGTTGCACTTAAATATTTCTCTCTTATATGGTACATTTGTGTCCAATAAATGCATCTTTTGGTATGGAACTTGATCACAGTGTTAAACCAAAACATTGAGAAACTTAAAGCTTATATATCTGATCTTAATAAATCATTTAGTGATTAGAGATTCAACGTCAGAACTTATAGAAACATATACATGATCTGGAGGTATTTAAAGTAAAACAAAAATAAAGAGAATATAGACAGCAAGAGGTCAAAAATTAAATTATCAGGTACACAGCCAGAGAACCAAATAACTTCGTGGTGTCTCATTAACCAGGTGATACTGATGAAGGTTTTCTTACTGTTATTAGCCCTGGAGGCCTATAACTAAGAATTACTAGAAAAAAACAAAACAGCCATTTGTATATTCCTTGAAAGTTGATAACTATACTAGTATCTGCCTGTGTTTTTTTATATTTGTATTTAAGATTATGTTTAGTTTCGTATCGTAACCTTAGAATGCCTCTTCCAAGTTTTAACGCTGAGGGAATCTTACTTTTCTATTATTAAAAACAAATGGCAGTATTGTGCATGTTATTGTGGAAAAACAGATGTTGTGTGTTACAGGAGGCTGGGATATACATCTCACGGATCTTCCAGCAAACACATCTGGTTTAAAATTGGGGCTCCTTGGATCTCTTCACAAGAACCGTCTACGACGCTAATACTAATTTACTACTGGGTGAGCATGGGAAGCAAGAGTAGGTAGTTTTGGCTAAATATATCGAACTTCCCTGGACTGAACCCTGGTCTCTCGGTTCGAACCGAGTTTTCTATTACACAGGTATGAGCTGTCTTTGCCACTATTATATATACTGATTGCTCCTTATATGTGATTGTTATTAAATACACTAAGATTTAAGTGGAACTTTGTTCTTAATGGCATAGTTCACTATCCAGTGACTTTAACATAGGACTCGCAGCAATGGCTTTAAATTGGAAACATTCAGATTCAAGAAGGATATAGGAAAGCACTGGTTTGGTAATAGAGTTGTGGATGAGTGGAACAAACTCCCGAGTGTAGTTTTAAAAATAGGTTGGATAAATACATTAGTGGGTGCGGGTGGGTGTGAGTTGAACCTGACTAGCTTGTGCTACTAGGTCAGATGTCTTGCTCCTTCCTTAAGTGAATGTGACCTGACCGGACTAGGTTGGGGCATTGGCTTAAGCCTGTAGGAGACTTGGACCTGCCTCGCATGGGCCAGTAGGCCTGGTGCAGTGTTCCTTCTTCCTTATGTTCTTATGTTCTTGTATCATTAATTAGGAGCGAGGTAGACCTTCCTAAAATTAAGTCTCACACAAAAGATAGCTTCTATGCTGGGTTTAAAGACTCTCGACTGCATGCTGGTCATTAAGTCTGCAATTCACCTATACACAAATAAAAAAAAAACGTTAAACCGGAAAATGCAAATTACAATCATCTCTCAACGAACATACCTTGAAAGATGTGCACAGGGATATGCGGGAGAGATTCCCGCAGTGTCACCCCCATCAACTCAAAAATAATGAATAATCGCAACCAGAAGTGATCAAGGTCCCAGGGCCGAAATGTTTTGTAATAAATATGTCCAAGTGTTTGCTCAAGTGTGTTTCTAAAGCAGCTGTCGCAATCTATCACCAACTTGTCGCAATCTATCACCAACTTGTCGCAATCTATCACCACGGTTTATACCGAGACTCTGAAGAGGCCACAAACGTGTCTCGTGGCATCACCATTTATATGAAGCTGTATAGACAACTTTTACTTCTATTGAATAACATGCAAAAGTGTCGCAGTCAATGTAATAATATAACTGAATTTGTTCTTACTTTAAACTGAAATAAATTTTTTAATGTTCCTGAACAAGATATATTTTGCCTTTCTCTGTTAACATAAAACCTTGGAAAGAAATATAAAATACCCACGTGATGGATAAAGAGACAAATGCAATATAATGGGACCACTTACAGCGTTTCGCCCACACAGTGGACTTCATCAACTCACAGATCCGGTACTTGATAAAGTCCACTTTGTGGCCGAAATGTTGTGTATAAAGAATAGTATTGGACTTCATGTTTGTCTTTATTCAACATATGACAATTAAATCTTGGAAAAAATCAAGGAAATAGATTCATATTATCATGGGATTATTCTAATCCCTTGAAAATGGGCTTCAAAATATCTTTTGGGACTAGGTGTGGGATGCTAACTACACATAACTGGTACAACACCAGTTATGATGAGCACATTAAACACGCTCGGTAATGGCTGACTAACTTTCACAGGAACCGAATAATTGTCAATTTCTGGGATATCATTTATATCTTTCTGT